TCCATTGCTTCACTGAATTGATAGAAGTCTACCTAGCTGGCAGCAGAGCAAGAATAAAGAGGTACCAAAAAATACCTATGTCATTTTAAATTGTTTATTTCACACCTGAGAGTTCAAAATTGATTTGGAAACTTGGTTTCTCTTGACGGGACCAACTGTGAGTCTGCCTCCCTACAGAATGGTCACAGGCATGCAAGATGCACGTGCAATCCAGGGCTCAGTGCTGAAAAGCACAGACCATTTTCTGCCAGGGTCTAAAGCCTTCCATTAACTTCAAGGGTTGGAAGCCATCAGCACATCACAGAATCAGACACAAATCATCACACATTTTTTTTACATTAAAACAGCTGTACTTCCACCTAGTTATATCAGAAGGAATATTTAAATTTTACTGCTCATGGTAATCTTCTCAATTACAGCCAAGAAGAGTGCCAAGTTATTAGAATTCAAAATTTGACATTGTGTTTGGAAATAATTGTTATTCATGGGTTTAGATTTAAATTAAGTCTCAGCAAAATCAGAATAAGAGCTGTCTAAGTCCAGTAAACTCTCATGCAGCGTGTATTTGCAGGACCATATGTTCTGCTATAATTGCAAATTATTCCAAGCATGTCTTCAGGTAACAAAAAAAGTATTTTCATGGAGGATAAATTGAATTTAAGCTATATTTATATACACAAAGGTAGAGCACTCCTTATTTTCTTGCTTGTTTTTTTCTTCATGAGTAAAAAAGCATCCTTCTCTCAAAGCAATAGTAATAGTTCAGGCAGTGAGAGCATAACTCAATCCCTGAAACATAAGGTCTGTTTGGAAATAACTGGAAGCATTTGGCTAAAGCACAGGCCTGCCCAAGAACCTAGTGGACTTCACTGGGAAGAGGGGTTTCAAAGTGCCTAAAAGCATTTTTTTTGTGTTTTCCAGAAAACAATAAAAGATATTAAAAGTCCTTTGAAAAGGAAACCGTGAGTTTTTATTGACCTGAAAAGGCATTGAGTCTATCTCTCAAAAGTCAGTCAGCTGGGCCATCTTGTCTGTATCCTGCTGTTGCTTCTTAGATTATTTGGCTGGATATAGCCAGTTGTCTTTGTTGTGAGGAGCAACATATTCTCCTATGAGTAATATCTGAACAGCTTTTCAAAGAAGAGGTTTGCAGGTATGAATGTAGAGAGTAAACAAACCCCACAACTACCAGATTAGATGATAAATTTTCAGTTACTCATATTCATGAACAAAACTAATTGGCCAAATTTGGGTATTGTCACACGTCTCTGTATAAGAATCAAGACTGGAAAGAGCAACTACTTCATCTTGTCCATTTCTGGCATTCACAGGTATAATAAGAAAAGCAAAACAGCAGGTTGCTTTGACAGAGGTCTGCCTCCAGTTGTCTGACTCTATCTCCCTATATAATTTGAATTTTTTTATACAGGAAAAGTCATCAAATATTCCATATATGAACAGAGATATAGAAAAATGTGCAAATTACCAGAAACTGTGAAAAACATTTTTTCACACAAAAAAAAATTACAAAAGCAAGGCAAAAAAAAAATACATGCCATAATATTTCACAGGTCTTTTTCCTCTGGTGCAAATTATCTGCAAATATTATCTATTCTTAAAAGTTGAAAAATATAGATTAAGCAAGGAGTCTCATAAACCATTTCACATTATGTTAGGACTAGATTAGTACTACCGTGTCTTGATCTAATTTTGAAGTCATTGATTTGACAAATGACTTTCATTTTGTGTTTCTTAAAATCTCACCTCAGAATCCTAGAAGAACTGTAAGCCACTTGATACAGATGCCTGAAAATGGCTTAAGTACAATGCCTTTAAGAGAAGATAGTGAAAAGGAAGCATCACCTGTGTGGCTGAATGTTGATAAAAATAACTCACAGAAAGCCACAAGGAAACCATAACACCTTGCTTACTGTTTGTCTTCTGTATCTTTAGGATTGCAGGAATAATTTATTGTCTGAGTATAAGCATTCCTAGTGATCCACTTACAAGAGGCAAAAACAGATGTTTGAGGAGAAAATGAGGGAGATGCTATCCTGAAGAAATATGGAGTAATTTCTCTTTAAGAAAATAGTAAATTTAGTCTTCTTTTATGCTAGTTCAAAAACTAGAATCCTTGAAACTATCGTGGACATTTCAAGCTCATTATCAAAGGTATCGCTTTTCTAATCTGCTCCTGCTTGTCCACACTGCTATAGAGACAGAGGCAATGCCTATAGAGAGTTTCAGTGGTATAGACTGAACAAATGTTTCTTGACTTCACAAACAAGATTCTGACTGAAGTGGCAATAGATAGACCCATGGATTTCTCACATAAAATGAATTAATTAACTCTTATCTTTGTGGTTTGCAGAATGTTCTATAAGAGGAAAATCTAATGTGCAAGAAAGCAGTTCAAGCACCCGCAGTAATCAGGCAGTAACGGACCACAGGTTTCAGAAGAGCAGCCCGTACCTGGCCTCAATTGAGTCACTGGACAGTCATGACACTGTGCTTGTCAGAAAAGTAATCAATAGTTCATCAGCACCAGCTTGCAGAGAATTCATTCCTTTGCGTTTAAGATGTAGAAAGATGGAGCAGAAGACTTGGACCATCTTTAAGAGGGCTTATTTTACAGAAATAAAGCTGGCTAAGAAAATGTTGATTTGAGAGATCCTGTAGCACCAGGGATTACTTTCATTCAAACATAAAAGTGCTTAGGAAAAATGAGATGGCCTCTGCCTCACATTTTTTTACATAGAAAATTATTCAATGAATTGGCTACCTTTTACTAGACAGATCTACCAAAATTACTATCACTTCTTTCTGTTTACTCATTTATCTTTGGAGTTTTCTTCATTCCAGCTTTGTTTCCACATAGTCAGCATGTTACCCTTCAAAAATCTAGTGACACACTTTGACTGGTCTTCAGAAGCTTATGTTGTAGAAACTCTTCAACAAAGCCATCAGCAAGCTAAAAGATTCCCTGTGAAGATAAATTTTCCACATTTCTCCAAGGAGGCTAAGAAAGAATTAAAGAACCTCAAGTCTTTGAAATTAAGGCATAAATCTTTCCCATTTTATATGCAGTGTTTAACTTGCCATGACCAGATGCTACCATTCTAATTAATTTCATATGAATGAAATCATATTTAAAAGGAAAAAAAAAAGGGAAAAAAAAAAAAAGGAAAGGCTAGTCAAAACATTAAATACTTGAGATTGTCCTGGTTTCAGTACTTATGTCTTTCAAAAGGAGTGTGCTGTATCACAGCCATATCATTTTGGAATTAAGTGCTAATGATGATGGGGTTAAGGTAAGCCATGTAAGAAACAGCTGCCATGATTGGCCTGAAAGCAAGTTGAAGCTTTAATCAGTTCCAAAACCAGAGTTTTCTGTCTATTGCTATATAGATAACTAAAACTCAAGTGAAAAGTGGGTGACATTAAAATTAATATGCTAGAAAATATTTCTAAAGTAATTTTCAGAACAAAATTCTCTCCCACAAAGTTATGAAACAGCACTACAAGAATATCAAGTTATTAAAAGTAAATAATATTAAATACATTTTTGAACAGACCATTTTCCTAGTAAGTGTTTTTTTTGTTCAGTTTTATAAAGTATAAGAAAAATATCCCTTGCATTAGTATCTCTTTTTCATTAATTCCTTTTCATTGCTTTTTTCTCTGCCCAACACAAATTTTATATAAGGCCAAAATAATACCTGATTTTAATTAGGCTACAAAATTTTCGTGTCCACACAAATGACACAACAAAATTCTTTAAAGTGCAATAAGCATCAGCATTTCTATAGGGAAAATAGAGTATTTTACATTATCAAGTATGGCTGTTTGTTAATATTAATCCCTCTAAATCAGAGCACATTATTAACCTACAGTAGAGCCCACTTACCTCACAATGCTGTAAATAAATTGTGTAACAGTATGCCTTATTAAGCTGCATATTGACAGAAGCTTGTTGATATGGAGCACAGTAATGGGTACATTTACAAAATCATTACAAAGCCATCAAGAACTTTCCAGGTGAAAGATCTTTGCTTCTTTCCTTTAATGTTCTACCAAACATCTGTTTCAGCTGCTGCCTGCAAAAAAGCACGGGTCTCCAGAGTGAAAATCTGTCACCTTATGGACCCAGGAGGAGCCTTTTTTTCATTACTAAACCATGGCCTCAGACTCCTTCGTGTGAACTCAGGGTGCCCCCTCCTTAATTTCAGTTTTCAGTTAACATATGTTGAAGTGTTCTTCACAGAAGTGCCATTGAGCATTGCTACATTCTTCTACAGAAAACAAACAAAAAACCCCAAACAAAAACAAAAACAAAAAAAAAAAACTGACACAAAACAAACAGAAAACCCCCCACAAATCTTCACAAAGTGCACCACTGCTAGCAAAACTGTTCCTTCTGAATCTGTTTTCTCACAGCATAACAGCCTGGGGATGAATTGCTTCCTACAATGTTCAATTAGGGTGAAAGCTGTAGCTTAATGGGTTCATGTGAAAGTTAACCATGTATAACATCACAGGCACTCACTGGGAGCTTTATAAGCACTTTAACTGCGTTTTTTCTGGTAAAGTCCTTTCCTCAGCTGCAGTTGGGCTCTGAATAGTCTGAAAATCTCTGGCAAGCTGTTTATTAGGTGTTATCTCTTGTCTAGGTGGAAGAGCACTTAGCAGATCACAAAGTACTTGGTGTCAGCATGTGTGACACAGACATAACAAGCAGGGCTGCATGAACTTTTTTTGGGGAAAACAATAAGAATAGAATTCCATGCTGAGTCTTCAGTGGAAACAAGAATTTATCTACACACATACACACAAAATAGGATTGTGCATTTAACGTCGCCATCTTTTGATCACTGATTTTCTGCATTAAATATTTTGCTTAAACCTCTATTTAGTTAGTAGGAAAAAAAACTATCTCCAGAGAGCAATTACAAGGATATAAAATCAGCTGCTGCTTAGGCTGGCTTTCAGTAAATATTTACCCTTTTTATTGACCATCTATCCAGTGCTGGTAAGCTGGACTACCTAGCCAGCAAAAAGATGACTGATATGAATATTATACACTGTTCAATTGCATTTTCTGCACACTAGATAGCAGAGTTCAGGGGTGCTGCAGGATTCTTGATGGTCCTAAAAAAGAGAAACAGAAAAAACAGAAGTGATCAAAATCTGATATTGTGATACAAACCCTTGCACTAAACAAAAGAGAACTTCATATCTCTCTGGAAGCTTTCCTAATAATCTCCTCCCTGTTAATCATTCTTCTCAGATAAAATGAGCCAGAGCTTATTTTTTTCACCTGAAGACTTCTTTTATAAAATCATTAGCTGAAGATGAAGTTATTGCTTGAAAGCAGTCAAAGAAGAAAAGACAAAGTAGTCCAGTGCATTATCAGGCTTTCCCTATTAATAAAATCTGCTGTTTAGCAGCTCCCATATTGTCACTTTGCCCTTATTATGAGCAAAAAATGTTATTTCAACATATTTAAACTGCTACATAAAAAACAGATAGAAAAACATTAAGATAGATCTTTGAATGCTAATTTCTAATTTGAGAAAATAGTTTACTGCTTGAGTTTTAATGACTAGAATTTATCCATCCTGCATTGATTGTACAGCAAGGTATAAAGAATATAATTTAGTGCCTTTATTTTTTTTTTTTAGGTTTTTTTTTTAGGTTTTTTTTAGTTTTAATCTAAGGACATAGTGGCAAAAGGATTTACCCCATGCAGTTAAAGTCAGTCTACTCTCTTTTCAGTGATTATTTAATTGGTATACAACAATGCTTGATTAAATCCAAAGAAAGGTTGATTACAGGTGGTACAAAGGTAGAATACAGCTTTGTCAATGCTCAGTCTAAATGGACTACTTCATTTGGAAATTTATTAGCACTTTTTAAAATTGAGAATGTTTGGTGATTTCTTGCTTTATTTATTATGGAAAGAGAGAAATGGTCACCTTTCCCTAACTTTTCTCCTTATTGTCATCCAACTTCTCCAGTATATGCTGTCACCATTGACTTCTGTGTTTCCCTGTAGCATCACTCTCAGGAAAATTCCCTATTCAGCAGGCTCTGAAGATTTATTCTTCATTCACTCTTATCTTTCTGCCCTATTAAGCTCATGACAGTCATGTTCAAAATAAGAAAGCATTGCACTGACTACTGGCACAAAAAAGAAGTGTTTTGCAAGAGATGTGGAAAACCAAAGGGGGAATAACTGGGTAAGCAACAGGTAGCAGAGCTTTACAGGGTAGAGTTCCCGTCTTTGGCCGGGGTACTACTGGAGACCTGTCCCTTGGATAAAAGTAACCTGTGGTCAGCTCTAACAGCTAAGCAGAAAGTTTCTGCCATTCACTGGCTTGTAGCATTGTCTCAAACTTTTCTTATGGTTCACAAGATCCTCACCAATCTAGCTTCAGAGGAAAACAGAGGAAAACCATAAAATAATATGCCCCATTCAGGAGCAAGACAGCAGACAGTTCATGAGAAAGAGAAAAATCTAATCTATTACAGTTTTGGTTATCCATATTATCTACTCTAGGACAGTCAGAGACATCCACAAATAAACTTTAATGAAAGCATGAAAGAAAACATGTACTGTAACACATTATCTGTTGTAGGTATTCTGAACAAATTTTAATCTGTTTTTCTTAACTGGACCTATATGTAGGTTAACTGAAACAAGACATTCTTCACACAGGAGTGCAGCAAAATTACAGATAACTGGGACACCATACCTGGTCTTCCCATACAACCAAGATCCCCTGAAGGTGGTGCATCTGAACTGCCCAGATCTAGCAGAAAGCAGTATCAGGGGCAGGAGGCTCAGAAAAATCCTGCAAAGGCTGTTGGTAACACCTGCCAGCTCTCCAACAGGCACTAAGAAATTGGGGGACAACTTCAGTCTTATCCATGAACATACATCTTCATGCCTTTGCTCTGTCCAGCTCACATATTATCTCTCACTTTCCCCCTTATATGTGATGTTCTTTCCTTCTATTCTTATTCTGTTACTGCTGATGTCACGAACTAGACTACAGCAACAGTTCAGTGACTCGAATATTAAGGCTTTACATATGTGGGAGCATTAACACTTGTTATAGTTAAGGTCAAATTCCATAAATGTTGTTTTTAAGACAAATAATGAGGGGAAAACATTCTGACAGCATCAAAAAACATCTTGTTTCAGCATGCTGAATATAACACACTGAATTTCAGACTTTCGGAACACTCTTGTCACTTCAATGGATTTACAAGGGTCAGAATGAAAAATGTAGCAGAGGTTAATCTAAAACCCTTAATTGTGACTAACAGCTGTCCCTCTCTGATTTAACAGTAAAATGCAAAGAGCATTTTGCATACTATTTGAAATAGAGCTCATTTTCATTCAAATGTATATATGAAACTGTCTGGGCAGGTGGATCCATCTCTGTTTAGTGTTGCAGCTTTTGAAGTGCACTACAATGGGAGAAATAATGAAATGGGGAAGTAGTCTAAGAAAGAAAAATTGAACTTTTATTTTAAGGCTGTCAGAACATTATGTGGTTTGTTTTTGAGGCCAAATTAAAATTTTAAATGGTTGATGAGAACGTAATTGTACAAGTAAAACCAACACTACGTAGAGAGGAAGAAACACAGGGGAAAAAACCCTCTAGAAAATTAATTTGAAATATTTCATTTAGACATGAAAGAAAAAGGTTGCTTTCATTTCTCTGTTATATGACTTATTTCCCCAGTCTTATTTTTAAGGGAGCTGACTTCAATCAAATTTTACATGAAAGATGTAATTTCTAATGGAAAAAAAGTCAAAACACTGTAACTCAAAGGATAAATATTTGTACATTAATTGCAATTACAGCTTGTTCCCATTCCTTTCCTACAGACAAATTGAATTTTATCTGATTCAGAACTGCAGGAAAACATAAATGTTGAAAGAAGGTAATTCCCTCAAAAATAACTGAGAAATCGTGGCCTCCTTTTCCTATTGCTCAGAAGCAGCAACACTCCCAGTTTGTCTGCTGAAAAACAATCTATGACATCTACAACTTTGTCTTTCTTTAAAATAATCAAACTTTTACTCTTTTAGGGAAGGAGAACTGAGGAGCAAAAAATCCACCAGCAACAGGTTATCCCCATAAATCCTTCTTGCCATTAAAACTTGGAGCAGTTATGTGAAGAAGTGGCTTCTCATTCTGCTTCCTCACAGTGCAGAACATCCAGAAGATCCAAGCTACCACTGGGCCTCATTACTTAATTTAAGGGGAATCTCTGCTTTTGTTACATTCCTACAGTAATCCCCATATTGTTTTCAGTATCAAGCTCTTGTTTTCAAAAATCCAGATAACAGCTGGCAGCAAAATATTCAATGTTTCTTCTTTATTGTCAGCAATGCTTATGCATCTGGATTTTATCCCTAAGTCAATGCAAAAAAATGATTTTGGAGTATTATATTTCAAATTTTGAAGAAGTATTTTTCCTGAAGCAGTGTTTCATTTCTTTATAGGCCCTGTACACCACTGTTCTGGCTTGAAGAGTTCCTCTGGGTTGCTACAAAACTGGCTGGTGAAAAGATTGCCCATTTTTCTCATCTTTCTGGAAGAAACACCACCTTATACTCTCAGCCACATTTTAACTCTGTGGTTTGGGTATCCACTTAGCTTTTCAGTCTCTGCACATCCTGCTGTTTCTGCTGCTAAGATTTACAGTGCTTTTCAAGTGGGATTTGGCTTATAATTACTGGATTAGATGCCCAAGTACAACAAAGATGCTGCCAGCACATCTCCTGGGAGTAGCATAGAGATTGCTGCAGGTCATCCTGTCCCATCCTGTCCCTCCACATAATCCCAGCATATCTCAGATCATCTCAGATCCTGCTAAATCAATGCAGAAAATATTTTTTACTGTAGTTCTCCCTCCTGACACTGCCGGTGCAGGAGCACTCTGGAATACCTACACCACCAGGTTTTTGCTGTTTGATGAGAGACCCTCACTGTAGAATAAGGCAGCTTGAAAACTCTGTCCCACAGCATGAAGCAGACATTAGGATTTTTCATGCAGCACAGGCAATAACTTGGAATGGTAGGACAAGGTTTTGTTGCCTTTTAGTGTGAGTCACTCTTCAATATACCATCACTTTACTTTCCCTCTGTATTTTTATCCATTATGAATGTTACCATCAAATTTAATTTTTATTTCCTAGCTGTCATCCCTAGAAAAAACTGTGTTGTAAGCAAATATAGGATTTATTTGAGGTCTCCAAAAATATTCCTATCTGTAGAACATTAATCTCTTTATGACTGCAATTAAAAACATGTCCAACACCATGTACATTTCTGCATACAAAATATTCCTAAATGGTGCTATGAGGACAATGGGCTTCCCACAACCTCATTTTTTTCTGTGATTTATTGAACTACTGATATAGTTTATTCAATTTGAGATTGAGAGTAGTACATAGAGTACTTGTGACAGCTGGTTTATTCTTAGTGAAATTATGGATTCACAATTTAATTACTCTAGTGTTTGTCATTCACAATTTACAATTACCTGTCAGTGTCTGTTGTAAAACTTGGCTTTCAGGTGTTTATCTTTGCCACATTTTAGTATTCAAGATGGATGCCTTCTTTTAGAGTAAAAGTCTTTGAATACTTTCAACAGGGATCACTTATGTCTCTCTAAGGAGAATGATAAAAAAATAAATTCAACACTTTACATTCAGTAATGCTCTAGTCTCTTCTTCAGCCTCCCTATGAATTGACTTCTTTGCTCTCTTTGGATGACTTTCAACCACTTCTTCCACATCCAGTGTCCTCTGTGTGTATATGAAGGGAAAGAGTGGAAACAATTGTAAGTGTAAAGGTTAAACTTTAAGTGTCACGAAAAGGTGCTTTCACAAGAAAAAAAAAACCTCAAAAAAACCCCCACCAAAACAAACAAACACAAACAAACAAACAAACAAACAAACAAACAAAAACACAGGCCATTTAGAAGAAATCTTATCTATTTTTTAAATCTGAAGTGTAAAGGTTTTAACTCTACATAAACTCTACCAGACCCAAGAGATACATACATTTTATTAACCTTCTATTTTATAGTGCAAATACTGCTCTCTGGTTCTCTTCATCACTTAAAGCTATGTCATTTTTAAAGTTAACAATCCTCTCTTTGGGAATTATGACATGTCAGGAATATCACTCATTTCTGATCTATCTTTATACAGATTTCTTTCCTACCACAACTGACAGCATCACATACTTTTTAAATCTTCATGGCTGTCTTTGAAATGGCTCTTCCAACAGTTTTATTCCAACACTTAGGAAGTATAAATTTACTAAATGTCTTAAATTCTTGTGTTAATATTTACCTGTATGAATTCTCAAAGCCAAAAACTCCACACTGTTTTGATACAGTACAGAAGAGAGCGGCAATGTAAAATTAGTTACTCCAATAAAATTTTAAATAGTACTTTGAAGAATAAATATTTTTCTTGTTTCAAGTGTTTGATTACTTTAATACATGAAGGTCTCAATTGTATATGGATTTCATTCTGATTGAAATTACTCAAAGTTTTTGAGTGTGAATATATGTGCATGTGTATAAAACTGAATAAAAAATGGTAGGCAAAGAGAGGTGAAGTGTTCTGCCTTGGCCATATAACTTATTCATAGTGTGTTCTTGTACACTAGCCATTCCTAACCATTTAAAAAGCATTTACTTTGGTCTTAGAGTCCTTTTGAACTCTGTACCTTCACTACAAATTTAATTCAAGCTAACAAATTTGAGCTAAGGTTTCCTGAACAACTGACATCAAATGTTGCTGCAGAGTGAACTAAAGAAAAGAAAATGCACTGAAAGCCTTGGAAAAGAATAAGGCACAGACTTTTCCCATTGACATATATTTTAGCTTCTCTCAGCAACTTGAACAGCTTTTAAGGTGGATAGCAAATTCATACTCAGATTAAACTGAAGACAAATTCATGACTCTGTACTTCAAGATAGCCATAAAAGTTATTTAAGCACTTTAGAGAAACTCAGGTTACATTTTAAGTAGCACTAAAAACATTTTTTGTACCAAAACCCTTTGCCTTTGTGGTTTTTGTATGCATGTTCTGTAGACCATGAAGGAGCCAGCACCCTAATACAAAGACACTACAAGTCCTTTCCTTTCTAAATTATTTAAATTATCTGACTGGTACAAATCTTCCCAGTGCTCTTTCATCCACATTTCTTGTGGCATGCATGGATTTGTTTGCAGGTCTGCCAAGCTATCCATAGAGGAACATACCTTCCCATCCTTTATTTGCATTATTGCATACAGACAGGTCCCAGCTGCCAGTATCACCAATTGGCTGCCGACTCACATCAGCTAAGCACTGAGGCACTAATTCTCATTTGTTGTCAAAAAAGATGAGTGAACTTGATTTTAGACATGGAGGATGTTTTCAATGACAGAAAATTGCAGTCCTTTTGCTGCTTGCTGTTCTGGAAGAAGCTGTGCTGCAGTATCCCCCAAGTGGCCATAACCCCAGGGCACACACATTAGAGGCAAGAGGGAAAGCAGCATGACTTGCAACTCCTACACAAGCTGTTTCCTACACTAATGCTCTTCTAGAGATATGAACTAATTCTCCTTTCCCAGCCTCAAGGAAAAAGCTAACACTGCCCTGAGCCTCACTTTTCTTTTTTCCTCAATGGTGAAAATTAATAAATATTTTAAGCATATGTTGGATTTCTCACTGAGATTGTTTTCTCTGATAATACTAAATGGTTTCACTTACCTGTAATTTTTGCCCTGATTTTATTAGGAATTGAGTTTGAATCTCTTATGAAAATAAGAATCTAGAGTAAGAAGGTATAAGAACAGGAAGGTAGAGGGGAGAAGATATTTGATCACAAGTAAAAGTGAAGTGAAAGTCTTCTGACTCTCATTTTCCAGGGAATTAGTTCAAGGGCCAATATCCATGGCAGGCTTATTTTAAAGCCAGTTGGGCTGGAGTATGCTCACAGACAGATCACTAAACTAAGAGACAAAATTTGAATTATAGGAAAGTTTAACATGAAATTTTCTCAGTTCTGAGAAAAACTCTGATATGTCAACTCTTGCTTCTATCCTGTACAGAAAGGGAAGGTTTTCATTGGAAAGCTAGTTGGTGAGAGATTAACAGCTGGTTCTTGTTAGACTGAAATGCCATCTGATGCTGGCTAAACCATTTTCCTTGACCATGCTGAACACTACAACATGCCCATAAATTCACTCATGCATAATAAAAATTTACTGCCTCAGTGACCTTAAGAGATTAACAACCCTAACAGCAACACGCTTCCCCAAAACACCGTGAAAGAATTCAAAACTATAGCCACTTTTTGAAAACAGAAAAATAGGTAGTTTTGACATTTCTGTATTTTAGAATAAGGTAATAAAATATAATTCCCTAAAACACAGGAAGTTTCAATGACCATAAACTAAAACACAAGAAGTTCCAACTCAACAAAAGGGAGAACTTCTTTACATTTAGGGTAGCAGAACACTGGAACTGGCTGCCCAGGGAGGTTGTAGAGTCTTCTCCCTCTTTGGAGACATTCAAAACCTACTTGGACATGTGGTGATGCATGTCACCTGCTCGAGGTGAGCCTGCCTTGGCAGCGAGGTTGAAGTCAATGGTCTCCAGAGCTCCCTTCCAACCCTAACTAATCTGGAATTAATTGCAACAAAAGTCTGTAAAATAATATTTCAACCCAGACCAGACTCAATTTTGTAGAACATCAATTGTAAGTCAGACTGGAAGACAAAGGTCAAAAGAGAGAGAATGGTCTTCACCATGAGTATTTGAGAATGAGGTGAGAAAATGTCATAAGGATAATCAAGAAGATATTGTGAAAAGACTTATCACTGGGGCTTGGATGAAATGTCCCAGCAACAATAGCAAACACTTGAAGAAAGCTGCAGTAATTTCCCTGAATGTGACCTAGGTAAGGTACTAAAAAGAAGATGCTAACCAGGAAAGACATTAAAAGTTCAGCATTTGAAAAATAAAAAGGGCAGAACTTATTCTTTCTGCAGGCAGGACTCTGAGAGCTCTCCATCTGCCAAGAGTCCCTCAGAGCTCCAGCAGTCACCACCTAACATGATGCGTGGAAAAGTTCAAACAGAATAGCCAGATCTGGAGGAGGATAAGCTGTATGATGAAATGAGGAATAAAGGAGGAAAGTGGTCAAGTTATTACAAATATTAACAAATTTCTTTTAAAACATTTTCACTGCAAGGTTTTCAAGAAGGGTGAGTTTTAAAAGGGAGTAGCAGGAAAAATAAAACTGATGTGAAATGTGTCTCATTTTCAGGTTTTGTTGTGAAGAGGCAGCACACGGTTCTTTTGTCCTTAATATTACAGGTCTAAAAAGGAAAAAATCTTTTCCATTCCCATACAGCTATGCAGACTTTTTTCAAGGGCTGTGGGAAATTCATCAGTGTAGGAAATGAATTAAACTAAGAGTAGGCCAGGACAAATGCATAATCATAATCAGGTGCTTAAAGGATCTGGATTGTCAGGGCAGTGACTTCAACACACTTCATGAAAGCAGAAACAGTGACACAGGAGAGAGGATGTCTTTCCCTGGGGTGCCAGACAAGTAGCTGGAAGGATAATAGGGAGGAATTAAGGAAGACCAAAGTCAGAGAAGGACAGAAAGGAATTAGACTGAATCAGGAAAAGAAGCAAAAGGACCAGAAATGTGAGATGCTTCTAGCAGGGAAAAAAAAATACACATTGGGTCAAAGAACAGAAAAAGTGTTAGAGCCAAGGAGTCCTATAGGTAGTGCAGAGTAGCACTATCTCAAGAGAAATGGGTAAACAGCTCTAGGTGTCCATGAGGACACTGTCAGAAAGGAACCAGAGTCAGCACAAGATTGGTAGCAGGATCCTGTGGGTGAGGTGTTAAGTGGAAGAAGGCACAGGCACATTTAGAAAACAAAAATCCTTTGCATCAGTTCATTTCTTTCAGAATGCTGGAAAAATAACATGCTGAATGGAATGATTTAACCCCCTATAAATGATGGTGGCACTGTGCATAATCAACAACTGCATCTACCATGCTAAGTAATAATTCTGTGAATCGGTCAACAAAGAATTCCTAAATTCACATAACACACTGACTGCACCCAAGGAAGTATTGCAGTGTACCACATCAATATCTAATGTGTCCCTAAGCAGACATTGTCAAGATTCACCCAGAGGGCCTCAGCAGAGCTGTAACAGCATCCTGCATACAAAATCTGTGGACTAAACCCTAGTTTAATAGGCTGCAATATGAGAGAATGTAGCAGGTACTGCCTATAATGCCAGTCATCCATGGGTAATGGGAGAAACTTCCAGATTCAAACAGAACAAATTCAAACAAATGGCAGCAACACAATCATTCTACCAGTGCTTTTCAAACACCATATTAGGCACAAATTCACTAATATAGCCTAAATTAGTTTACTTGCTGTGTTACAATTTTAAACTGCAGTGCAACAAGAAAAAAAAAAAGAAAAACCCCAGCTTTCCAGCATCATGGAGAACTTGACAGGAACCCTCAAGAAGGAAAATTACTAATTAATGTAGCCCCATCCTTCTGTTTTAATTTTGTGGAATGCATGATGGTGGAAGAGATTATGCTGCATCATTTCCCCCAATAAAGATTCTTTTGCAATAAAAATATGTTCACTTTCACTCAGACACATTTCAACTCGCAGTAATGGCTTGCAAACCCCTCCTAAGCTTTCCCCAGAAAGAGAGTCCTGGAAGTGGTAAAAATGCAAAAGAGCTGAAAATA